CCTAGGCCTAATAAAGTTTTCAGGCATTGCCTGAATTGATCGTTCTCAAAAGTATCGTCATATTTTTGAATTTTATTAGTTGATTATTGTGTCATCGATCATTTGGTAACATAAATATATTTATAATAAATATATGTTTATAAAGGGCCTATAAATAATAAATAAATAAATATATATATATATATATATATAATACATATAATACATATAAAAATGTCTATAATTTAAAAAAAGACTTTGCTATAAGCCTAAAATAGACAGTGACCAGTCGGAATAATATGCTTACTTACCGTCAAAGAATATCTTTGTTCGAAAGTATGAAATGACTAGGCGAAAAACAGTCTGACTATCAAGTTTTCTGTGCAAGGTTGCCTTGTCAATAGGCAGTAATGTTTCCAGGGCCTTTATCTGTTCACGGAGCTTATCCCTGTATCGCTTTGATTTAAAACTGCAGAAGAAAAAAACATATATAGTTAGGCCTACAAATGAAAGGAAATGTAACGAATTTAAAAGGTATTTGACGAGAAACTATAGAACACAAGAATATATATATTTGCAAACGTATAAAAAATATTTAAATAAATAATGTGGACTGCCTTGGTTTGATAAAAAGGATGTAGGTAGGCCCAAGTTAAGACTAGCCAATCTAGCCATGTCAATAGAAATTAAAGCAATTGTAACAATTTAATTTGGTTCACGAAGCGTCATGCAGTTTTAGTTGACCAACATATTCCTGACCCATGGATCATAGGCCTCAAACACGTGCCATACACATCCGGGTATTTTAGAAGTTTAACCAACCAGACACAAGAATACTTTTCTAAATAGAAATCATACACATGTCTGTATTTTCTGTAATTTTTGTTGTACAAGCATACTTTACTATTTTAATGTTAGGTAATATACTTAGTTAAACTGACAGGTGTGATATTCACAGTCTGTATCCAAATAAACCTTTTGACAGAACGCATGATCGAGTACTAATAATACCAGGTGGAAAAATACACGTTTTCTAGAAAACCAGGTGGCAAAAAACACATGTCCTAGTACCGTAACATTAAAACTGCTGGTCTGATAGGTCTATTAAGAGTAAAGTGGAGTTGTATCTAAGTCTTCTAGCGTAATTTACAGGTGACAAAGTACTTGTACTAGTACATGGCTACACTGCGATTAATTGTTTTACTGTCATTTATTTTTTTTTGTGAGTATTTAAAATATTTGTTCGAATGATAAATAAAAATAAAAATATGATTTTTATGTCGATTATGAACACGTCTTTGCTATAGTTTGGGCGGCTGAAATCCGTACTCGAAAAGATACTATATCTTGGAAATATGACAACCAGATTTAAGAACTAAGTGGCTTTCTTTGATCTAAAGGAAAACTGATTAATTGATCTGTGTTCATGGTTATAAACGCTTATGGAAGAAAGGCAAATTCGAATCTACGCGGTGATACATTACATAAACTTTAACGGTAATAAATACTCGGGTACGTATACGAATCCGAATACATTTCGAAACACACGACGAAAGGATTTTAATGCATCTTCTGCATTTAATGTAATTTTGATTATATACATCAATAGAAATAGCACTGAGAGATGATAAATTAAAAACAAACACTTGGTGGATTGAAAACGAAATTTATTTGAAAAATGTTTTCAATACATATTGTATTTTATATACTGTATATATATATATATATATATATATATATATATATATATAATTGAAAAATATCTCAATTTTTTGTGAAACAGTGCTCAATCCCACTGAAAAATCTATCTCTTATACACATCTAGATGTGTATAAGAGACAGATTATGCACTTGTCAATTGTAGTCCAAACTTCCATGGAAACTGCTAAGTGATACGCACGCGTAGTGCTTCCATCAAGGAACCTCATCTCCTTGGCCTAGCTCTCACGTTGCTTCTCCGATTCAGACCTACTGTAGGCTAAACCTTCAAGTAGGTTTTATCCTCCAATCATTTATTAGCGAGGCATTTTCCCAGGACTACGGCGGTGTGGCGGGGACTTAGCCGGGGATGTACATTAAAACGATGCTCCGCATTGCTAGGAGGTGGCCGGGACTCTCACATGCATGTAACCATTTTGGAAATTACATCCCCTGCTAAGTCCCCGCAAGGCCCAAAATGAGGATAAAAATAGGCCAGCAAAAACTTGCCAACTTTCAATCCTCCGTGTTTTTACAAATACTCAAGTTTATGAAGTCATTAACACATTGTACCCTTACAAATCTACAACAACTTTGCTACTATTAGATAGTAAAGAGGCCCACATTTGGCAAAGAGTAGAAAGAGGACATATCCACACTCTACCATTATCCACATAAATGTAGGTCCTATAGGGCCTACGGTACATTTTATTGGTATTTTCCTGTGATCGTAATAAGGTTTATATATAACCACAGATATGCCAGTAACGAATGTGCAACACGTTAAAAAGGTACCGGTAATCGCGAGAGATCGTCTACTGTAATACACCAACAATAATGCCTAAACATTGTAGTGTTTGCTATTCAATCATGACGTGTAGTGCTGGCATTCTTATACCTTACTAATTAAAGTAAAGTACAGTTGAAGTTTTTGTTACTTTTTACAACTCGAGCGGAAGTAATGCGCAAACCGGCTGGAAATGTTGGACAAAAACTTGCCGAGATTGTGAAGACAATGCGTGGAGAGCAGGTTAAGTGCTGTCTCTTATTCACATCTAGATGTGTATAAGAGACAGTATATATATATTATATTATATTTCATATAACTCACTGTCCAAAGACGGGTACTTTCTCAAATAATAATCAGTCCACTATCGGTAATAATTATTGGGTTGGCCACCCACTCGGATTTACTCTCGACGAATGGATTGGATTGCATCAAGGGCTTCAAGTTTAACGTTGTTCAGCTTGGGCCTATATTTCGGGAAGGAATAGGTCTGGAGTGTACATAGCCTATATCTGTATTTTTGTATATCATATAGCCTATATATACATTCTAAAAATTATATACATCAACATTAACGTTATTAACAAAATTAATATTGTGTAAAGAGTGGTGTAACACTTATGTAGGCCTACAAACTTAAATAAGACCATCATTCAAACTAGGCCTATATCGGATCAACATAACACAACAAAGTTATAGGGCCTAATAAGGCGATGGTTACTGTGAAAGGCGCTCAATACCGTGGGCCTAGGTTTATACAGTTTTTGTATTGAATCGATGTATGCATATTATACATAGTATTATAATGGTTACGATATTTAGTACTAAGAGTATGCTACCAGTGGCGGATTTAAGGGTGGGCGTTCCTAACTTGTCCAGGCCCTCGAAAATATAAAAAAAAAACAAGTGGAGAAATAAAAACAAAATTGTATTCAAATTTAAGTCTGAAAGTACCATTTCCGGCCATCTAGGGGTGTCATAATCCTAATTTATTTTACCTCAGCCCCACCATGGTGGGGCTGAGTGGTCTGGACCCTCTGTAAAATTGACTTTCTGCGTACCCTCTATTTCAATTTTCTGGATCCGTCACTGGCCACATTCTAGAAAAATTATGGAAACCATAGTGAAAAAGCCTGCACTAATACTGTAAAAACACAAATGAAGGCTATCCTTTCGTCGGCACACAATGTGCTTAAATACCGGTATGCCTATAACATTGTCTATGATGAAAATGAGAAAACTGCTTATCTAAAATGATCATGTAAATTCTTTCTTTATTACTAATGAGACACAGTTCGGAATAATTCAGTTGACATTGACATAAGAAAACACTTAAATTTACAGCAAGCACCTTTCAAGATTTAGATTTATGTATGAATAGGTACGGCGTTTATTATTTGAAAAGTCCAATTAAATAATAAAATTAAAATCTAAATAATATTCAGAATAAGCAATTCTTCGAGTTTGACTGATCTTTTAAAAAAGTACACTCTCTGTGTTCATTTAAAGACCACTTTTTGTGGTGCAAATTAACAAATTTCTTTTATCTTTATTATTCTAATTAGAAACCAAAGCTGCATGTCCCAAAAGCGTTCTTTAATTGGAGGGAGACCTGCATTTGTTTCAAATAATGGCAATTAAGACAGTAATTATTGAATCAAACTAACACAACCCTTTTAGATACAAGCTATGCTATGATATTAATAAGTTATGCCCCAGTTATGCGTTCCACAGGTTTTTCTTTCCTCTTTTTTTCCAAGGTGTAATGATTAACTTAAGCCGTGAGTTGTATGAAGTTTCAATAAACTCAATAAAATTTAAATAAATTTCAATAATAATAATAATAACAGCAACAACAACAACAACAACAACAACAACAACAACAATAATAATAATAATAATACCAATAATAATAATAATAATAACAATACTAATATTAATAATAATAATAATAATAATAATAATAATAATAATGTATAATTATGTGTTCCATAGGTTTTTCTTTCCTCTTTTTTTCAAGGTGTAATGATTAACTTAAGCCTTGAGTTGTATGAAGTTTCAATAAACTCAATAAAATTTCAATAATAATAATAATAATAACAATAATAATAATAATAATAATAACAATAACAATACTAATAACAATAATAATAATAAATAATAATAATAATAATGTATAATTCGATTATTATTATTACTTATTTCAATAAATATTTTTTATTATCAGTATTGTTATTTTTGTTGTTGGTTCTGTTATAGTTATTATTTATATCAAAAAAGTATTATTATTATTATTGTTGTATTTGATTATTGTAAAAAAATTCCTATATTGTATTTCTATATTTTATATTTTATATATGAGCATCGAATAAATTCAATTCAAATTCAATTATTATTATTATTATTATTATTATTATTATTATTATTATTATTATTATTATTATTTGGTTATCTATCATTATTACTGTTATATTTATTATTGTTATTATTTGTTGTTGGATATTCATATTATTCAATATTTTAAGTTAGGCTCTTAACTAATAGATATTATAATTGTTATTTCATATATATATATATATATATGTATATATATATATATATATTATATATATGTATATATTACTATATTATTAATTATATGCCTATTATTGTAAACGAATATACTAATGATATTCAGAATTAAATGTTAAAGCTAGGAGTAAAAATTCATGACATAATGATAATAAGTTTCCTAAGATGGAGAACCCCCACTAAGAATACATAGCAAAAATATCCAATAGAATCAATTAGTTGCTGGTGTGTTCGTGAGTATACTTAGGCCTAGTTATAATTAATGGAAAAAAAAAGATTCGTTTTGGGGTTTTACGTTTGTTATGTTGGTTAATAGTGCGTGATACTAATATACAAGAAATGATGACGATTAGCAGTTTGTATAGAATTAGAAGCAGTTCGTGTTTCCGTGTATACTAAGTAAGACTTAACAAAAACCGATTAAGAACGTTTACTTAATTCTTTGTAATTACATTGCTTATGAAACGAATAAAACAGTTTGACTATTTCTTCTAAAACATTATAAGCCGTGTTTCCGTTGAGGAGACTTTACCTATAGTATTTGGTAGTTCAGTAAAGGCTTACCTACCTTGGATCAATTTTGCTGGTCCCGTGGCGGGCAGAAGCGACACCTCCGCGGGGTGGTTGCCTGCTGCAATGAGGTACCGCTAGGCGTCGATCACCTGCCGAAGTTCGTGGCGTCAACATAGTGGACGAAGTAATATTCGTGATACTATGTCCGATTTTTCAGCGTCTACACTTTGATGTTGTGGGTATAGCGTGATGGACAATCCTTGCCGCCCGATGAGTACGAGACACAATTCAGTAGAAGCCTAGTTGAGTCTATATATTAGGCCTAGACTTCTAGATCCGAAATATTGAAAGAACTATTATTGGTTCAACGGCAGGCGTTCGGCAATATCAAAGACTTTTTCTCATAACGCCTCCTCAATTTAAGTCGAAGCGGGTTTGAAAAATATTATGTTCCGTGAATAAATAATGAGAGGGAAAGAAAGGACCAACAAAAACTATGGTTGGGTCAGCACACATAACTGGCTTAATACTATTTTTCTCCAAATTGTTTATTCTCATTCAATCAGGCTTAGAAATATCATATCAGTCGCACTATCAGACAACACAATACACGCCACAGTACCATGTAGAACCGCCCAGGTAAACTTCACAAAATATGATTGACGTTATATGAGTGGACTAGTCTATTATCTAAACGGGGCGCGTATTGCGCAACAAGTTGTGAAAGCATTGATACATGGATGGATGATGGAGCGGAATTATAGTTCCATATCATATCATTGTTGATAATAATAATAATAATAATAATAATAATAATAATAATAATAATAATAATAATAATAATAATAAGAATAATAATAATAATAATAATAATAATAATAATAATAATAATAATAATAATAATACGGTAACAATCATATCATCAACGATGATAACGACCATAATAGTCCATACTATAATATATTTTAAAATAAATTAAAAGACATAAATATCAATAATAACAATTTGTAGACACCCATCGACTTTATTGAGCTAAAAATAAACCAAAGTTTGAAGTTTACTAAAAAAAGGAAGAAATTTAGATTTTGTAATGAGCCTAATATTATTACTAGGTCAAAATAATGATAATTAGTTTACATTTTCGTTAACTGTCAATTACATCTTGTTTATATTCTTTATAGAGATGTTACGTCATGTCTTGGAGGCATACGATTTTCTGATCATTACGAATATTCTGATTAAATCAAATGGTTACAGTATCTAACCTTCACCCCTGGTCTCGGTATATCAGCAACGATAACAGATTATCTAACTGTGAATTTCAACAAAATATTTTATTTCGAGCACATCTATTATTGAATTCTCATGTCTTCCAAGTGTGGGACCACAGGGCTGGACACACGTGGTGGTACGCGTGGGTACTACAAGCCTGCGCACACGTGGTGGAGTGGGGATTGTTTCCACTGACAACAGCCAAATGGAGAATTAACAGAAAATTAGTTGAACGTTCAATAAACATTGATGATAACGAGGATAAATTTGTTTGAAAAACAGATAATTACATACGTAAATTGAAATTTCATCGTGTGATCTTTACGGCACCGCTAGGAACGTGTCAATGGCGGCCCGAATAAGATGCGGTAAATTGGATTATCGACAAACAACGAAACAAATCTCACTTGAGACCAATTAGCAACTTTTTTTCAATCTCGATCTAAAGAAACAAACGATTCAACAAGTTGTTGTAGTGTTTGTAGAGATAAAGCCATTAATAAATCTATATTATCTGAACTCATAGCTACTATAATAGGCTCCCATCTAAAATTAATTATTGATTAGGCTATAGAGCCTATATAACGGATATTTTTGGTTTGCATTGTGGCCTAAATGTAGTGGGGCATTATTCTATTTTCAAATTGTACACGTGAGTTCTTGAAATTAAATCCTTTGTTAATGTATTTGCATTTCGTTTATGTTTATATAAGTTTTCTGCGAATTATCAGAGCTAATTTGGAATTTCTTAAATCTGACCCAGCCCCTCGTCATAGGTAGCCTACAATTTCTTTCTGTTCTCTGACCATTCACTTATTCATGGCGATACACGTTTACCTATCAATTGTAGTTTATTTTGAAACATTCGTTATTGTTCAACGGTCGTAATGCCAAGGATTATGTTGTACGAGTACTTGCTAGGCACTGATCATTCGGAGAACAACGCCACGACACGCGCTGCGCAACGGTTCGTCCACCGACAATCAACAGACGGCATCGCGTCGAGCGCTCACATTGGCGGGTGGAGGAGGAGTTTGATTTGTCGTACGACGGTCGTAGGCTTAAGCATGTGCACTGGGCCACAGAAATATTAGGCCTAGGCCTCTATGTACTGCCAAACAAGGGTGTACTAGGGAACAGTGTAATTTCACTGTTCCCTGGGTGTACATAGTTCACACGAGCATTACAGTGGTTACTAAGACTGACTTCGTAGCTAAAACAAACGAATGAGCCAACTAGTCGAAAACATAATGCTTTTGGTTTATCTTACGTCGTACCGTTAGTTTGGGCTGAATCATTAGAGATCGGGGCTGGTTCGACATTATTACTATGTCACACTAGCCTTTGACATTTATGTGCCTACAAACAGGGAAATTAAAGAGACGACGTTAACAAAAGATTATTATTATTATTATTATTAGTATTTATTATGATTATGATTATGATTATTTTATTTTTTAAGAATCATGACATATTATTATTAGGAATACCTTTATCATTATAATAATAATAATAATAATAATAATAATAATAATAATAATAATAATAATAATAATAATTATTATTATTATTATTATTTAGGCCCTAATAATGAATATAAAGAGTCAATGTTGCTGCATAACACTGTGGTATATATAATAATACAATATTTGTAGAAACATTGCCGATGTACACGAACAATCATGTAAAGATCGTATCTAGTAAGTATAGTACCGTATATCAACGAAAAAGTTTCTTATCAATTTTGTTTAAAGTTCCCGGTGGGAATTGAACCCGCGATCTCTCGCTGTCAAGGCAAGCGTCAGTTGTTGACCACAAGGGCCCGACGGTATAATATAATGACACAATCCAATAAAAGAATGTTCTTAAAACTGATATAGGCCTTCAAAAGTGAGACAGAAATATATGTGTGTATATATAATTTATATATTATACATTATTATCTAGGGGGCCTATACATTAATAGTTATAACTGAGTTTGATATTAGGTTAGGTCTGAATCGGTAGCTATCTCTACATAGGCCTAGACAACAACATCCTTCACTTTGGATATTGGTTAGGACAATACTTCCTCTAGGGTGATGGTTAGTTTTAGTGGACTTTGGCTATTATTAGTGTGAGTCAATGGACTTTGTTCATATTACCATAACAGAATCTGAAACATTTTGATGATAGGCCTACATAATCTTCCCATGAAGGCGTGGTACTAGCGTAGACGACACCATCTCAAACATTGCGCATTACAGGGATCGACACTGCATATCGCCGCCCACACGACCACTTCAATTGACATAATAATAAACTATTCCATCAATCTAACCGCATGATTTTTGCAGTCAATCGACAACAACAGTAACTTATTTATAAGCGAAGAAGTCAATCAATCAATCAATTAGATATTTCTGTGTGACCACAATCACATACTATTAAGACATGCACGTCACATTATTACTCCGTCTATTGAATCGAACAAAATGTACGTAAAAATGCCCTTGTAAAGAGGTATCAGTTTAAAGTCAGGCTCCGGAGGAAAAAAATTTGTTGATATGTTGTAGAACTGACAGACAGAGAAAAGTTGTTTGACGAAAAACTGGGGAACGGTGAATGAGATACAGATTTTTAAATATTTAAAAACTGGGGGAATAAGGTGTAAAAATGGGCAGTTACGACCCTTCCCCCCTCCCCCCAGTTTTTAAATATTAAAAAAATCTGTATCTCATTCACCGTTCCCCAGTTTTTCGTCAAACAACATTTTTCTGTCTTAGAAAAATCAGTTCTACAAAATATCAACAATTTTTCCCTCCGGAGCCTGACTTTAAAGAGACCCCGGTATACATGGTCTGGCAAAATGAGCTCCGGTAAAAATGGCCCTGAGCGCCAAATAGATCAAAATAGCCCTAGTGCCAAAAAACCCTAAATAAATTAATTTATTTAATTTGCTAATTTGTCTTTTATTCTTATTTATTGGCGACATTTTAAAACTAATTTCTACTTGGGTCATTTTTACCGGGACAATTTTTAACCGGACCTACAAACTCCTGGAGCATTTTGCAGCTTCGGTAATCAGTGCCTCGAGACTATTGTACCTGGATCCACGGAAACGTCTGAATGGAGAGGGACGTTTATAAAGTGCTTTGCTTAAGGACATAAACAAGAGGTCAAACATGAACCCTCACCCTCAATCCTTTTAGAAATCTTCAACCAATCACCACTGTGCCGTGGTCTTAATCTTTCACACATTCATCAAATGAGCTAAATATCAACTTAAAGAATGATTTGATGGATGGGCTACACTACATATTATTGCAATATCAATGTAGTTAAGTAGGTGATACTCATACCAATGCGTCAAGTCGATTAGGCATCTATTTCTATGCTACTCCGCCTCCTGGCCGGGTATTTGTTGGGAGGTGAAGGGCAGAACTTTAAACGCAGACATAGAAATTCACTGAAATTAAAAACCACAAATGAGCTCACATAAGTAAAGAAAATCAGCCTCAGTTAAAACATGAGAATTTAATTCATTCATCATAGCAGCGCACTTGCAAACCTGAATTTATTATATTATGCCATTTCGATCGTGGGAAATATCGGACGTGTGAACGGCTGTTCCTACAGCCTATCGCCCTCATTAGTTGGCTGTTCACATGACAGACAACGCGCCCGCGTCAAGTGCTGGGTCAACATATGAACAGATTGATTTCGTATATAATTAGTCAATTTAGCTAAATCATAAAATAATAGTAAGAATCATAATCAACACTTGATAAAATTTATCATAAGCCTAAGATATCAGAACAGTTGGACTGAGTGGGCAAATGATCGCATTATAATTACTAGTGGCTTCACAGTAGGCCTAAGCAAGGCCCCAAACGCAAGGCTCCAAACGCAAGGCCCCAAAACTGTCTGTTGCCAAAGCCCGATCAACCCAAATTATCAAACACCTGGGGTCGGGTTTAGTTTATTTTTTTTTTGCAAATGAGTAAATTCGTTGATATTATCAGAACTTCAAAATATATCTATGTATACATATGTATACATACCTAGACCTACTGTATATTATATATTTTTTTCATACAACTAGGCCCTATATATATAGGCCTATATATTATATATATATAAATATATATATATATATATCAACTTTTTTCTGCACTGCAAACGCAAATAATGTATTAATCAAACAGATAATAATACAGCGCTCAAATATATAGGAGCATGGTGTTATAAATCGTATCTAACATACGGTAGTTCTTCAACAAAAGTTTCATGTTAGTTGTATGGAAAAAAAGAGATCTCTGATGGTAATCGTACCCCCAATCTCTCGCTGTCTCGGCGAGCGTAATACCCGCACGACCTCTATAG